TTTACCTACCTTTGGGTACAACTAACTTACTTTTGGGTAGAAAGCGAGTGGAAAATTCCATACGAATTGCACACAAGTAAATGAAAACTACTTTGACCCACATAGTTGTAGATGCGAATTGATCATTTTAGATGGTCAAGTTTTGAAACCACCACAGCATGCTTTTGGCGCTACTGTATTTGGACGATCAAATGTAAAATACTGTGGTAGCCACAGCACAGTTCTGTCAAAAACTCAGCATTTTCATTGATCCATTTCAAATAACAGACTGTAGTGGTAATTTTTATACGATAGATGGAGTAGATGAAAGCATACAGTTGATGGTTCCGTTAGAGTACGGCAGTGTGGAGATTGCATACACTGATAAATTGAACTATTCCCATTTTACTTGAAATTTAATCAATTTGACATTAAACTCAGTTTAATCAAATCGAATGATTAAAAATTAATCCTCTCTTTCTAAACAATAAGCATCTGATATTAATCCCAGTTTAATCATGGTTGATTAGATTGTAGATTATCATTTTTTGAATAAATTTTAATCATTTTTGATTCTATTTTAATAATTTTTGATTGAATTTTAATCTTTTTTGATTATATATCAGTATGGAAAAAGAATAAAATTTAATACTGGAAAGATTATTTCGAATTTAATCATGCATGACTCACAGATAAAAATTCTGAATTTTAATTGTGATGTAAACATTCATTCACGTAAACTTAAATTTAAATTCACACAAGCGAGCAACTTGTAAACAATGTTGTTTACAAAGATGGGCTTTTTTATACAATATTTGCTACATTGCATGAATTGTGCTAGAACTTTACATGATATATAATGTAAACTTATATGATATATGACGCTCCATTTGTGTGCATCATATTGAACAGAAATTTACACTACTTTTCGAACTGTGTACTGCCGAAGTAATCACGGCTCGGACTCAATAAGGTGAAGCGGGAAACTGCATACTTTTTAAGCTTTTTTGATTTAATTTATCTTTGAGTGTATAGATATTAGAATAGCGAGCTAGGACAACTTTTAAGGTCCTAGCTCGCTATTCTAATATCTATATGCAATCTTCACACTGCCGTACTCTAACGGAACTATCAACTCTATGCTTTAATCTACTCCATCTATCGTATAAAAATTACCGCTACAGTCTGTTATTTGAAATTAGCATCTTCAACTATGTAAATCGTTGACTTCACGTAGAAGTAATACTAAAACATATAGTCAAAGTACTTTGACCCGCTTTACCTACTTTTGCGTTCCCGCACTAAAGTGCCGAGATGTATGAAAAGAACTTCCTTTTGGGTACTTTTTTCTTACCGTGTATGATGATAGGAAAATCGAGGCGCCCAAGGGCTCTTAAGAGCATACGTGTGCATTATACGTTTTCGAAAAATGCTTGGATGACACGTGGACTGTTTCGGGATTGGTTTTTCCAAGAGTTCGTCCCTAAAGTGACTGCCTATCTGAAATCTGCAAATCTACCGCTCCGCGCTGTGTTGGTATTGGATAACTGTTCCGCACATTGCAGCAGCGATGAACTTAAAACTCCAGATGGAGCTTTTACAACTGTTTTTCAACCCCCAAACACAACCGCTATACTGCAACCAATGGATCAGAATATTATTCAAATGGTGAAGGCCAATTACCGCCAAAAGTTGATGAGGAAGATACTCGGACGACCTGGAGAATTCATTGAAAACATAAAGCAAATCAACATCAAGGACGCCATATTCTGGGTTGCTGAAGCATGGGAAGAAGTTTCGGCCGAATCGACTTCCAAGTCCTGGAAGTTGCTATACACCGAACCAAAATTTGACCAAGAAGATGATGTACCGTTGTCGGTCATAAAGAAACGTTTGACTACAATTCAACTGATGGTAGCTGATAAAGCGGCTGCAGGCGATAATGAAGACGAGAATGCGGAATTCGATGTCATGTCTGATGCTGACATAGGGGAATTTACGTATTCTCGGCAACCTAAGCAGCCACCTTCTTTCTATAGCCTTTTTCTCTAAGGAACGCACACATATGCAGTATTGGTTTGTTTACAATCTATTGCTGCCAGCTGCTCCAACAATTTCAGTCGAAAGAAATGTCAAAAACTGTTTTGAAGCGCTTTTACAAAGCTCCAATCTTCTCTAGTGAGAGCGAGTATTGTCGGCAACCAGTTTTTCTTCGGCAACCGTTCCATTTGAACTGCATGTAAATCTGCTGTTCTATTATCGGCAACTCGAAATCAGCTACAATTTGTACTGCGTGTGTTGCATTTCAAGAAAACCTTGCTAGATTGCTTTTTCTCAGTGGTAAAAATATAGTCAAATTGAAGCTGAAAGCATAATGAATCGTTTGCATGCATTTAGCGAAGTGTTTTCGTAAGAAAATCCATTGAAAATAGTGTTTCAATTTGGGTTGCCGAAAATAGTCTGGCATGCTGAAGCCGTCATTTCCCCTAGCCAATGCTGTTCTTAACCATGATTCACATTTTTATGAAGGAGAAAGCGTGACGAACACCACTCTGGATGAAACTGCAAACATTTCTACAGCAGATGACAACCAAGATGAGGAGTACGAACCAGTTCCAGATCAATCAGCGCTGAACAGTATAGACACTATCATCACATGGGCTGAGGAAAACCAATTACCGTTGGAACGGCAGTTTTTACTTCGTGAAATCAGGGAAATATTCTTGATAAAATAGTCAATAAAAATTGATTTATGATCTATTTATCGAACTTGTCAATTAAGGCGATTAGCGAACAATTTTGATGTTAAAAAATATGTGATTGTAGTAGCAATTCTAGAAAGGGCTACATTAATCCTAGGGAGGGCTATAGCCCCCGTAGTTAACCTAATGAAACTATTTATCTCGATCGTTCTCTATGTCGATAGTCCATAGACAATATTCGGGAACAAATTACTCTTCATGTGTCGACGGCAAAATCTAGATCACTAGTTTTTTCTACGTTTGAAGTAAGCGATTGCGTTTTGTTTTGGATGAGGAAAATGGCTCTAATGTTGGCCTATGGATCTAAGATTGAGCCCATCGCTAAAAATATCAATTTTATCTAGATGAACGCGTCATTGGGATGGTACTAATGGATATGGACAAATTGAAAATTTAGTCGATTGATGAATTCATGTATGGACCCAAATAAGGGACATTTATGCCGACATTGCATCCATTTCCCCTAGGTAGATGTTCAAACAAATTTCCAAAAGTTCTTGTGCAATTTTTTGTTAATGTTCAAGTGTCTATAATTTTAACCATTTCAAAAGTTTGCAATTTTCAAAAGATTAAGAAGACAAAAATCGGACTAGGAAATTTTGAGATATTTAAGTTTTTAACATTTATTTTTTGAACATTTACTTGAAATGACTAAAAACACTTTTTATGTTTTCCAAGAAAACACATTCCTTGTCTACACTTTGTTTCAGATGTCATTTCAAACAGAAGTGCCGTTTCTGGGCTAATTTTTCACAATGCGAAGTTGAATAGAATTCTGAGAGGTACCTAATATTTATTAAAATTTGTTTATTTTTTCGCTATTTGGCCTAGAATGCGTGATAATGATTGCACCATATATGTACGTTTCCCGTTTCACCTGTGCATACAATGCCCTGGTTTTCTTCGCATGCACGTAACGTATAGCTCATACCGTAGTAGGCTGTGTATAAACGAAAATGATTTACTTAGTTTGACAGTTGCACCATGACGAAGTGGCAGCGTATTCGTGATTTGTCCATCGCGCAAATGTCACAAAGAGGCATTTCAATCGCCGTGGGAGTGTCCCGGTGGACCGTCAAAAGGGTTTTAGACCGAGAAAAGAAAGGACAACTATCCGCGAAGGTGGCCACAGGTCGTCCGAGGTCAGCTGGGGTTCCGAGGGTTATCGCTGCTATCAAAAGGAAGATTCGGGTGAATCCAGTGCGTTCAATAAGGAAAATGGCAAAGAAACACGGGATCAGTAACTTTACGGCACGGAAGATCGTAAAGGAAGATTGCGGATCAAAGTCGAGGGTATGCTTACATGCTTACCAACCGCATCCGGGAGCTACGAGTCGCACGATACAAGAAAATCTTAAACTTCCATAATCGAAAAAATCCGAGAGCATGTTTACCGTCGATCCCGCATCAAATTCCAAAACCGACCGGTATATTAGTTCTCTTCCGGTAAAAGACGTGGCCGACGAGCACAAGAACGTGTATCTGACCAAGCATCCTGCTAGCGTTATGGTGTTTGGATTGGTGGTTTCCGATGGCAAAAAAATGGACCCGGTGTTCATTCCAGAAGGCAACAAGGTCAACACGGAGGTCTACATCGGGATTTTAAGTAAGTATGTTCTTCCGTGGATCAAAGAACAGTACGGTCCGAAGCCGAATGTTGTATTTCAACAAGATGGGGCTTCGTGCCACACCTCGAACCGCACTGTTCAAACTGTAACCACCGACAAACCGACATGAATGATCATACAAATAACAAATACATGTCTGATCAAAGCACAAAACTGACATCTGCCGCCGTGTCCGCGGAAAATATGTATCCTAGCCACGAACACGCGTACAAAATTTATGAGTTGGTTCGTGTCTAATATATTTCGGACAAATTATTTTTATCTAGATAAAACATTTCTAGGGTTTGGCAGATGGGATCGTTGCACATTTGAATCGGCCGTTATGGATTCTAGATCAAGAGTTAAGTTTAAGTTTCATGTCGGTTTGTCGGTGCTTTAACTGCAGTTTTCTCATTTTTGTGTTTTGTAACATGCTGTACAACTACAGCACGGCAGTTCAGCAGTTGGAAGAACACGCACTGCTAACGAGGGAAATGTCCATGAATAATTACAGGCGGAAATAAACTAATCTGTACTTGGAATAAGCATTCTCGTGGGAGGTGGTTCAATGACGCCCATAATGAAAATGCTCGACAAAGAGGAGTAAGGGAGACAATACGCAATAAAATAGAAAACTTCAGCAAACACTTACAATCATGGGTGCTAAATTCCGTCACGCTTAGCAAAAAGTTGTTCTCCTCAATGTACCGATAGATGTTTGACGCAAACTCGGGCCAGTTTTGCTTGAACGTATCGATTGCGTCCGGGTGATCCTGGTTGAAGTCATCGAGAAACTGAAAACAAAGAACACATTCATCACTCCAGCGCGAAATTCAAGTCAACCACGCAAGTCTCCACTAACCAGACTGTATCCATCCGGTTGCGATAGGAAGGGAAACTTTTCGTACAGCTTGGCCGGTACCGCCTTCCGGGTCACTTCCTTCCGCGCCTTGTGCGTCTCATTCCACAGGGCCCGTGCCTCTTCGACGGTTTTCATCTCCCACATTTGCCCTATCGGTGTGCTGCTGTCCAGGAAATCATTGTACGACTTCCCTTGAGCCAAACTGCGCTTCCGCTTCATGTAACCGTACCGGTCGAATAGTTTCCCGTTGACGCGAGCGTAGTTGCCCTGTCGGCGGAAGTAGATCGAAGCGTTTTCATTGGGAAATATCTTCTCGATCGCTTTCGCGTACCACTCCAGCTCCAGTATGGGGATTCTAAAATAAAAAGGGATGTTGAGATGCAGGTGATTAGAATCAAACGGACGACTCACGGTCCACCGTTTTTGTCCATCAGGTAGTTGATAATGTTGGCCGTCAGAATGTTCCTCTGGTTGGGGGTGAGCGTCTTCGCATGCAGCGTATCCCTCATCACGAAACAGGACGAAACAATTCGTCTAAGTTCATCTACGACTCGTTGCTCTTCATGGGTTATCAAACTTGAATCGTCCGGTTGAGTACATTCCTCATTCGGCTCGTTGCTGTTCTGCTGAGACGAGCCTTCCCCGTGGTCTCGTTGATGCGTCATCGATTCGTTCCTCTTGTTTCGCATCATATTCGAGTATCGTTGCTGTAGCTTTCCGGTAAGGCCGTCCATGCCACAGAAGTAGGTCGTTTTGCGCTCGTGTGGAAACAGAACCACAATGGCATCGGCCCAGTAGTTAAACGTGTCGCGTTTAGCTCTAAAAACCACAATCTATTAGAGCAAATGTTCAAGCAAGGCTTAAGAATTTCTTACCTCCGGGTTGGAGTAATCCCTCTTTCTCTCGAAACGATATAGTGCACCACGACGTTGGTCAAATCGATCCGCTGGCATTTGTCTAGCTCGTTGAGACCGATCAAGTTCCGAGTCATTGGAGATTGGCTCAACAGAAGTCGAAGCTTCTCTGAACCGGGCACCGCCGGGTCGTTCATCATCTGGTTCATGGAGCGATCGCTTTCGACGAGCAGGGAGAGAGAGTCCTGGGAGCTGTCCTCCAGCAGAATGGAATCACCGTATTCGTCGGCTTCGATCGCTTCCAGCTTGATGCGCTTAGCTATGGGATCATCATCTGCATCGGACGGCGAGGTGTCCTGGAGGGCGGCATTTGGGACCGACACACAAACGGGAGTGGTGGTGGATGAGGTAGACGTTAGCTGTTCGAGGAAATATTTCTCGAATTGCTGAAAGTGTCATAATTTAACTGTAGGTACCTAAGCGTTATGAAGGTTGTTCCCTTACCTTATCATTGTTCTCGGTATTGGGAGTCGAAATCTCAGTGATTGAGAACGTGGCCGCCGACGTCGGTGGTTGCTGCAATTTTGGATCCAACGGAGCAGGTGAAGGACTAGCGATCGAAGAGGATTGCTCTTCGGTCGATTGAAGCGATTTCTTCAGTTCGGTGAATCGAGCGGTAAAGATCGCACGCCTTCCTAGCTTTGGAATGAGTTCTTTGATGATGTCCGGCGTTAGAAGCAGGAAAGCTTCCTCGTTGACCTCTTCATCTGAACGAGCGAAGAAAATGATGTGGGTTAAGAAATTTTCGTTCTGTTTAATTTGTTGCTTTATTAGAACAGTTAAGGGGAATCAACTGGGCTATTTATGTAGCCAGTTCAGTTACGGACGAACCCGGCCAACTTGGTCAATATTCATGGGTTTATATAATAAGACTTCTATGCCTCAAATATTGGTTTCCTCTTGGTTTATCAAACGATAGATCCAACAATAATTGGAAATCAATAAATCTTCAAACAAATTATTAAGTATACCTGCATAGTTCATGTACAATGGGGACAAACAGTTTAAGCCTTTCCATACCGGAAGGTTTTTTGTTGTTTTGAAATGCAAATATGTGTTGTTGAAAGTAGTGTTAGAACAAAAGATGTTTCACACAACCTAAAATTAACGAATCTGTTTTTGTTTTAAATTGTTGTTAAATTATTTTAATTGATTTTCAATATTTGCTCCGTTGAATCCGCAAGAACACATATGGACAAGAATAATAAGTATAGGAAGAAGCTTGAAAAATGACTGATTATTTAATGGTAGAATGATAAATATGACATGGACCGAAAAGTTGTGGATCATCTGTGCTACCACGAGACGGTTAAGGAGGATGGTTGGTGAGTGTAAACGGTATTCTTTGGTACAAACAACGTAAATATTTACCTTTTTTGACAAAACCCAGGTAATCATGACGTTTGATTATTGAAAACAATATGAATGAAGAAAAGAGACCAACTTCTGTCATGATTACCTGAGATTTGTCAAATAATGTAAATATTTACATCGATTGTATCGAAGAATGGTATGTTGGTATGAAAATAAACTAGGATAGGCAAATTTTTGGTCAACTTTGGAGTGTTGTAACTTTGTCAAATTTGATGCGATTTTAAATCTTCTAAGAGCATTTGACTGGAAAACTAATATTGTTCTACGATGTAGCCACGAAAATAATCCTGGTCACCGGATACCGGAGATATTTCGGAGAGCTTGTCTAACTTGCTAAATTTTTGGTGAAATTTTATATATGATGCTGGTTAAATATATATAATTTTAGTAAATACAACGATATAGACTTAAAGTGAATCATTTACCACATTGGCCACTCTCGGGACCTCCGGTATGCCCCCGGGGGAACCTGGAGCAGAGGACAATTGCAGGTTCTCTCGGGGCATCCCAGTGGTTCCGAGAGCGGCCAATGTGGTCACTGATCCATTTGAAGTTTAATGAATGCCTATTCATGAAAAACCATGAAGAATGAGCTGTCGCACGGCATGTTTTGGTGTAAAAATGCAATTTTCCTCTGCTCCAGGTTCCCCCGGGGGCATACTGGAGGTCCCGAGAGCGACCAATGTGGTAAATGATTCACTTTAAGTGTATAGAAAGAATATTCATGAAAATCCATGAAGAAAGATCTGTCGCACGGCACGTTTTTAGTTAAAACGAAGTAGTCCCCTACTACAGGTTCCCCTGGGGGTATCCCGTGATTCCGAGAGCTGCCAATGTGGTCACTGATCCATTTGAAGTTTAATGAATGCCTATTCATGAAAAACCATGAAGAATGAGCTGTCGCACGGCATGTTTTGAGTGATTAAATGATCTGCCTGCATTCAGAACCCTCCACCAGAACCGATTCTAGGGAAATGGCCATATCTCGGTTGATTATAAGCCGATTTAAGTTCTTGGCATATGATTCGCTTACGAAATGGTTCTTCTTTCGTTGTATTTACTAAAAATATATATATTTAACCAGCATCATATATAAAATTTCACCAAAAATTTAGCAAGTTAGACAAGCCCTCCGGAATATCTCCGGTATCCGGTGACCAGGATTATTTTCGTGGCTACATCGTAGAACAATATTAGTTTTCCAGTCAAATGCTCTTGGAAGATTTAAAATTGGATCATATTTGACAAAGTTACAACACTCCAAAGTTGACCAAAAATTTGCCTATCCTAGTTATTTTGAGTAACCCCTGTAGGTCTTGATCCCGAACGGTTGAGTTTCTTGCACTGTCACGAATTTCTTTAGCTTTTATGCGTGTTTTCCGCCTATAATTTCTTTTTCAGTTGTGTGATGCTTTGAAAACGAAGATTTTTCGCAGTGGTGCTAATAAATTAATAAAGTTTGTAAATAGTTCTGGTGTCGAGATTTGACTGCCTTGTTTTTGGACGACATCGATCACTGATAGGAGTCCAGAAGAGAATCTGGCAGACAAGAAATGTGTATCAGATTATTGTAGTTTTAACTGCGTGAAAACGAGAAAAAAGAAGTGCAACAATCAGGGAAACTTTATGTTTGTGTTATGTACTGAAGGAAATTTTAAGTTTGTGTAGGGCATTACAGATAGTACTCCACAAAGCACCTAATGCTTCACAAATTCTCCAAAAAATTTCCGTAAATCGTGACTGCGGTGCACTGGTCTGGAGATACGACAGAGTATCAAATAAAAGACCCTATTTCGACGGTGCTCAGAGGCTGAGGGCTACATATGATCCACGACCACGAATAGGTCTGCCATTTCCCTCTGGAAGAATCCAAGTAATATTTTGTCTAGCGGGGTAACATCGTTTCTTTATAATTGCGAACTAAAATTGACGACTTATTCTTGACTGCTGTTGAGTCCAACTACGATGCAACAGTTCTTACCGAGACCTGGCTAGATGATCAAATTCACTCAGCACAATTATTTGGCAGATTCTCAGTTTTTCATAATGACCGTAACCGGATGAACAGTGCCAAATCACGCGGTGGTGGCGTCTTGATTGCGGTTTCCAAACGACTGAACTGTTGCCTCGATCCTGCTCCGGTTAGTACTTCTCTTGAGCAGTTATGATAATGATAAGCATCGGCGTTATGTACCTTCCTCCTGACCGTAAATCTAATTTGAGCTGCGTTGAGAACCATATCAGTTCCATTGGTGCTGCATTGTCCCGATTACATCACAACAATCTAGCTCTGCTATGTGGCGACTATAACCAGTCTGGGCTTGTTTGGAATATTTCCGCGAATGATCATCCAACCATTGACATTCTTCGGTCGTACATGCCTGCTTCCTGCTGTGCTCTTTTGGATGGTTTTAGCCTGCATGGTTTAATGCAAATTAATTCTGTACCAAACAGAAACTCTCGGCTGCTTGATCTTGTGTTGGTGAACGAAGCCGCCGCACTAGAGTGCAGTGTCGCTGAGGCATCCGAGCCTCTGATTCATCTAGACGCCGATCATCCAGCGTTGGAAGCATTCTTAAATCGATCAGTTCCTGTTCTCTATGAAAACATCGTTGATGTACAAAACCTGGACTTTCGTAGAACTGACTACGTCGCGTTGAATCACTCACTGGCCCAGGTAGATTGACAGTCGCTTGACTTGTGTTCGTCCATTGATGAAGCCGTTAACTATTTCGAAGAAGTTGTCAGCCGATTAAAAATGGATTGTGTGCCTCTGAGTAGACCTGCTCCAAAACCTGCATGGTCCAATGCTCGATTACAGCACTTGAAGCAACCGGTGAACACTCGTGTTTATTTCAGTTACCGTGGGGACGTAATTTGTGATTAGCCTCGGTCCCTTTCAAATTGTATCATTATTTATGTACGGTCCTTATATTTTAAATGACGTTTCACATTCATCTAGTGGTGGCCGATTTTCATTCGAATAATCGATTAATCGATTAACGAACCGAAAAGTAAAATATTTGTTATCGGTTATATCATGCTGATATAAGCATTAACATCTCCAGAGAATCATCACCGATCGTTTCAAACATGTGCTGCACTCTCATTGGTGGGAAAATGACAGCACAGCGAACAAAAAAATAACCGATTAGTTGTTAATCGAGTAATTAAAAGATGGGACATCTCTGATTTTGGTGTAATTGTTTTGATAAAAATGAGCGCAAAATTTCATCTCTATACCGAGGGGGCAGCAAAATCACAAAATTACCTTGAATACGGGGGGTATTCATTGGATGAAAGGGACCGTGAAAGAGGACACTAAAATAGAAAGTTTTTCTTCCGACAGTTTCATCTTAGTATTCATCTTTGCTTGAAGCGAGTGAGATCGAAGGCTCTTCGAAAATACAACCAGTCCCGTAATCCATTCACCAAGCGATTATTTTCGTTAGCAAGTAATTGCTACCGAATGTACAACCGTTTTCTATACAAGAAGTACTCAAGACGTATGCAGACCAATCTCCGGCGTAATCAAAGCTATTCTGGACGTTTGTGAAGACAAAAAGGAAAGAGGATGGGCTACCGGTTGAGATTCATCTAAGCGATAAAAGAACCAACACTTCTTTAGAGAAATGTAACCTCCTGGCTGAGCATTTCAAGAGTGTTTTCAACGATTCAACGGCATCGTTAAGCCAAGTTGCTGAAAGGATCAGAGATACTCCCAGTGACGCGTTCAGCTTTGATATTTTCATGGTCACATTGGACCTCGTCGACTTTGCCATCCAGAAGCTGAAATTCTCGAACGCTGTTGGGCCTGACGGTATGCCATCGTCCATACTCAAAAGATGCTCAACAGAGCTTTCCTCTCCGCGTTCAAAGCTGTCCAATATTTCGTTACAGCTGAAACTAATGTTCTGCCCGACAACAACTCAGCAGCACGAGACTCCTTGAACTGTGTCTCAGAGTCGGCGCACTACTGGGCAAACTGGAGGGGCTACGCGGATGAAAAGGCACTCAAGCTTTCAATTAAACTGAAACACAACGCGGATCAATTTAAACACTGTATTTCTCCAATTACCGATAGTGTGGATTGTGTGGTGTTGTGTTCGATTTTCTTGGCACATACCCTTGATGACGATGGCGACTACGACGACTGCAGACCAGCGAGCGCTCGCTGTGGTTCCGGAAAGATCCTTAAAGGCCGATCTTGTCGGCAAGATGGCGGTACCACCGCTCGGTGAAATTGCGGTACAATTCCGACAATGGCGGACGAAGCGAGGCTGACCGAACGTCGGCCGTAGTGCGATGGCGGGTTGGTTTTACCGGGCTGGTA